GGCCTGGTCGGGTCCATTAACAGCCCTAGCATATCTGTACTATTCTTTTAAGGGTGTGGTTTCCATAAGGTTGCAACCTTAAAAAATTCAATTAAAGTGCACCTTCAAATTCAATTAAAGTGCACTTACATATGATTTTGATGTAAAATATTTTTTAGATTATCTCAAAATCTAATTTTATATCTAATTATAAAATTTTAAACTCCAAAAATAGTTAAAATCAAGTAGATCTATAAACATACGAAAATCTTGAAAATGGACAATCTAGATAGTATGTTGTAAGATGCACTATTTTTTGACTCAAAATCTTTTTATTTTTCAAAATCGTACTTCTCGATGTCGAGATGATCAATCAAAGGGGTTTTCAATATTAAAACAACTTTTTTCGAAAGATTTTTGAGGTGCATATGTAGTTCTACATTTTAAAGTTGCGACCTATATAAACTATTTACTTTTTTTAATGAATCCAATGCAGAATTACACATGAAGTGACTAAAAGCGTACGTCAGAACCTAAATCCATCTCCCAAATGAGTATTTGCAAAGGCATCCATTTTTAATAGAATCTCATTTTAGCTTTTACCCTTTTCATTTTGGGTGGCCAAATGTAATATTGCTTTTCTAGCTTTTTCGCCCATATTAAATAAAAATTATTTCGAACTTTGTAACACATTCAAGCTATCAAATTTCACATTCAATGATTGTAAGTAATTGTGACCTCCTTATACCAAAAATAAATAATCTCATTATGTACAATCCTTTAAACAAAATACATCATATGAAATAAAAGTGAATTTCATTTTGAGCAGTTTAACTAATGTACACAATAAGATCATTTACGATTGTTACAAGAGGTTACAATCACTCATAGCAATTAGAAGTCCAATTAGATAGCTTTAGGTATATCACGAAGTTCAAATATATTTTTTTGTTTTTTAGGAAAATTATAGATACCTCCAAATTCAACTTTCTACACATCTTATCTCTCAGTATTTTTGTTTTGTACCTTAAACCCAAACACTATTTTTTTACATACATTTATTCTCAATTAAATAATTAATGAACTTTTGGACTGAAAAAAAAAAAAAACAATTTTTTTCTCTCTCTTTTCCTTTTCAAAAGTTCATTCACATGCTATTATTTTGATCTCACTCTCTTCGAGTCTATCTTCACCCTTTCTCTCATTCTCTCTATCCACCCTCTCTCATTCTCTCTGTGCCTGCTTCTCTCACTTTTTCTGTTTCTCCCTTCTTATCCCTTTACCCGCCCTCTCTCTCATTCTCTCCATGTTTCTCCCTCTCTCTCCCGTTCTCTCTCTACCTGCCCCCTCTCTCTCTCATACTCCCTATTGTTTTGAGAAGTTCTCTGAAACATAGCAATGAAGAAGGGGGCAGTGGGGCCAGGGTTTCTTTAAGATCTTCAAATAGGAGTTGAAGGAGATTGGCCTTTCTGATCATGGCTGAATAGTTTCCGAACCTGCAAGTGATGGAGCTTGTCAATGGAGGTGAGGTCTTTTGTGGATTCCAGGAGGCCTTGAACCAGAGTTAATGGGGGATGAGATCAATGGGAAGAAGGTTGTGAAATTCGAGGTGGCCTTGGCCATTGTTTCTCATTCCATGTTCATCAATTCTGATTACTAATTCTGACTAACCATTAGTGAGAAACTCAAGTTTGCTGCAACAGTGGCTAACATTCTCTCTGCATTCTCTCATTCTTTCTTTAAAAAAAGTTTGAGAGAGAGATTTCGTTTCTTAGAAAGATTTTTTGGTAAGTAGAGAGAGAGATAGATAGAGTTCGGATGAGAAAGAGAGCTTTCTTGGATTAGTATAGGGACAGAGTTCGGGACAAGAGAAAAAAAGAGAAATTTTTTGGGTTAGTAGATAGAGAGAAATCGGGCAAGTTTGTTTTTTTGGTAACCTGAGACATAGTTTGAGATGATAAATATAAAACAATATATTGAAAAGGAGAAGAGAGAGATAAAAGGACAATTTTGTTTTAAATTTATTTATTATTTGATTGAGTGGTAAATATAAAGAAAATTAATGTTGGGTTTAAGGTATAATAGAAAAAATATTGAGAGTAAGATGTATAGGAAGTTAAAATTGGGGGTATCTATAATTTTATTTACTTATTTATTTATTTTTTTTAACTTCTCAATGACATACTTACTACCACCCAATTTAAAATCTAATGAAAAAGAGTAATTGTAACCTAGTAGTTTCCTTGTACTAAAAGAAAGAAGTAGTTTGATTCTCTAAAGGGTAAAAGTTTGCATAGAGCCTAGGCTCTAAATAATTAAATTAGAGCCTACTTCAAAACATTTATTAGAATAGGTCGTTTTGATGTCTGAATATCATCACATTAATAATCTCAACATCAAGATGCATGGAAATGAGAAAAAATGAATTTCAAGTTTTGGAAATAGGGCATCTTGTAACGCATTTTTCGACCGTTAATTTTTAAGATTTTCAAATTTTTATAGATCTGATTGATCTACACTATTTTTTAAATTTTAAATTTTATAACTAAAGATGAAAATACAATTTAAGGCTATCACAAAATTTCCTGACATTGATCTAAACTATTTGAAGGTAGGCTCAAACTTGATTGTTTAGAGCCTCGGGTCTATACAAACCGCACCCTTCTCTAAATATATCAAACAATATTCAAATAACAAAAAGTACAAAACAAGGACATGCTCTTGTTCCTCACATGCATGGATATGTTGGGCACACTGCTAAAAATAAACGAACCAGCCTCTTCAAAAATCAACCAAGGGCCGGGTTCGAGTAACCAGTAAGCCTGCCTAATCAGGCGAGTTCTGACCAGTCCAAAAAGTATTAAAAAATAAAAAATTACAAAAACTCCAAAACAACGTAAAAATTACATTTAAAACATGATTAAACAAAACAAATTCAAATGAAGTTGGGAGGTAATAAATAAAAAAAAGTCTAAAAAAAAGACTATTTATCTTTAAGTGCAGCTTGTATAGAGCCTAGGCTCTAAAAAATCAAAGTAGAGGCCACCTTATCCAAACGTTCATTTTTTAATGGAGGGTTAAGATTGTCCCAATCATAATGTCACATCTCTATATTGTTTTATTTTTAATTTTTTTTTTATAAACTGTTTTGATACCAAATTTTGAATGTCCATTCTTATATTAAACTCGCACTAACGAAAAATATAAAAAAATATTTTCAATAAATAAAATGATCAAAATACCTCTAAAAGTTTCAAGGGGTATTTTGGTTATTATTTTTTTATCTAAAAATTATTCTTAATATTTTTTATAGGTGCGCCCCAATGAGAAGATGGCACATACCAAATTTCATATTAAAAAGAATTTGTATTAAAAAAATTAAAAATAAAATATTTTGAGAGATCGGATCTAAGATCAAATGATGAGTGGCACTCTCGATAAAAAATGGACGACTGGCTGGTAGGGGGAACATAGAACTTCTATATTGTAGGGGAACATAGAAAGATTTCTTTAAAAAAATTATCTACAAAGAGACCATTTATCTTTCCGTGCAATTTGTATAGAGCCTAGGTTCTAAACAATCAAATTAGAGCCTACCTACAAATAGTGTCCGTAGTTTCATTTATCTTTCGATGCAGTTTGTATAGAGCCTAGGTTCTAAACAATCAAATTAGACCCTCAAATAGTGTCGAGATATGTGGTTTCAATACTGGAAGTCTTTATGATAATCTTAAAGTATATTATCATATTTATTTATAAAGTTTAACACTTTAAAAATAGTGTAGATCGAGCATATTTATGAAAACTTCAAAATCTTGAAAATTAATGGTCAAAAAATGCATTACAAAATACACTATTTCCAAAACTTAAAATCCATTTTTTTCTCTTGCTCATGTATCTTGATGTCGAGATGATCAATATGAGGCTATTTGGGCATCAAAACAACTTTTTCTAGTAAAATTTTGAAGTAAGCTCAAATTTGATTGTTCAAAATCTCAACTTTATATAAACTTTTCCCTTTATCTTTTATACATAGAGATCACCATCATTCTTGTTCTTTAAATTTCAAAATGGGTAATTGTAAGAGTATCATTGAATAAACACAACGTTTCAAAAGATGTATATATATATATTTCAACTTCCAACTCACCCCAAGACTTCTAATTTGTCATAGTGAGAATGATTGTAACCATATACAAAAAATAAATAGTTTCTATGAGACAATCCCATAAAACAAATGGATTTTAAAACAAAATGCAGCTTATATAGAGCCAAAGCTCTAAACAATCAAAGTAAACCTTAGTTTCAAATAGTATTGCAGTTTCAATAATATTTGTGACAACCTTATAATATATTTTTATTTTTAATTATAAAATTTAAAACTCTAAAATTAATTTAGATCGAGTGGATTTATAAAAATGCACTATTTCCAAAAACTTGAAATCCATTTTTTTTTCTTATATCCATGCATCTTGACATCTCAATTTGAGGATATTTGAACATCAAAACAACCTCTTCTAGTGAAATTTGTGAGATGGGCTCTAATTTTCTGTATAAACTTTTTCCTTTAAAAAATTGATTTGCACCCAATGATATTTTTGAAATTTTTTAAAAAAAGATGAAAAAATATAAAAATACATGTTCATGGCAAATCTTTGCCAAAATGACAAGTAACATTCAAAGAACACATCACAAAAAAAATCTCTTATTTTTGAGATTTTATATTTTTTTATTTGTTTAAAATACCCAATCATACCACCAAAACTATAAGCCGACCGGCGAGTTCCGAGTTGGACCGGCCAAGTTTGCGAACAATGGTTGGGCAAGTCTTGATTTAATGTAAATAGCCATGGATATAATCTGCAGTTTCATTATGGAATCGCTTCATTTAAACGCAGATAAATAGAACAAGTATAACGCAAGCCCTTCCCATCCCCTCATTGTTCCAAATGCTAAAGAGAGAGAGAGAGAGAGAGAGAGAGAGAGAGAGAGAGAGAGAACTAAGCTTCCTCGCCTGCATATTTGGAGGCCACCAAGAAGTGTCAAATAAAATGCAAGCCTTTCAGTCTACAAAAGATAGATGATTAATATGACGAGTCAAAATTGTTGGTACCTTAGAATCAAATGAAAAATAAAAAACAAGCAACATGCAAAGACAAGCCCCTCCAATATCATGACAAATGTTTTAGAGAACTACACACTCAAAAACTACCCTTCAATTGTTTTAAAGAAAAAAGAGTGATTAATCAGTACTTCAATGGGGCAAGGATTTCAAGCTTAGGACCAAGCTGCTGCTCAGCAGATTTCTCAGCTTTAACTCTGAGTTTCGCCAACTCCTTCCTCCTCTCATATGCCACCTGGGCCCTAGCCTTCCTCTTCTCCTCCAGCTCCTGCACATTCACAATGTTTTTCAGGGCAAGACCAAAACGCCACTCTGACATAAACAATCTACAAGTTGTTGATCTAAACTTTTTCAGAGGAAGTTGACTAAGTTGTTGGTCTGAATTGCACACCATATATGAATACAAGCACAGTAGGGACAAAACCTTAACTACAGAAACTATATTTGGCAAGTGAGAAAAAGATGCCCAAACTACCAATTTTCATGCCTCTTGAGTTTCAGAAACAATTCGTTCTTGTATGTTACTGCAGAGATGGCAATTAAATTACTCAAATGTTAACCTTCCCTTAGAAGGTAGAGGTACAACTAAAACATAAACAATATTCTGCTAAGAAAATAAAAAGCTAAACCCTAAATCCAGTAGCATAACACTCAAACAATGGGACCACTATTAACTAAGACGTTACTTTTCTTAGTTAATGAATAACAAGTTAATTTTTGAACCAGCCACTATGAAACAATAAAGGCCTCCAACAAGACAACCAGAAAGTTCTGGAACTAAACTAGCTAGCCCACCTTAACATGTCATGAGAGCCCAATTGCCAATTAATTGGACCATATGGCACTATTAATTGACACTGCATCTATTAACTGTAAATGAAAGCAGCTAGTGGCATTAATTGTCTAGACCAAACCACATTTCTAACCGATGCAGATTATGTAATGGTCAAATTGCTAACCAAACAAACACACAGTGGACAGGCAAGTGAACAGATCACCTCATCAAGTCAAGAAGCATATACCAAAAACTGAGAATAAACATTTTCCATAAAATCAAAGTGGCAGAGAATATCTTATACTGCAGGTATGTTGATATGTTTTCCATTGGAGATATTTAGAAGGTTATCACTAATCAATAGATATGAGGAATCAAGTATACTAATTTTCTTAGTAGACGATCAAGTTTTCAATCCAGAAACCCAGTTATGCAAGACTAATAATACCCAATAGCTCAATCAACCAGATACACAAGTATCAGACAGCCAGCAGAAATATCAACTCCTTAAGGTTTAACCATCCAGAGTCTCATCAAGGATCAGAAATTTATGACACTGCAGTTTTAACCGGATCCACATTATATATTTAGATGCAATACCTACAACCTACCAAAAGCAGAAACAGCCAACTGTCCAGAGAGTTGTGAAGTAAAAGGGCCTGAACGAAACATAGCCTGATGGCCAGTCCAAACTCTTAATTTCAACCATTGTTTTCAAAATCATTTTGAAGTTTAACCATTGCCATGCAAATCAAAGGGCCTGAAAGAAAAATGTGGCCTAACAGCTTCAATTGTTATCCCACCTAAATACAGGGGGGAGACCATTGGTATCATGCAATAGCAAGGATAGAACCTCATTTCATGGCAAGAATCGTACAGCCACTTTGAGACCACAAGTATAGGATAGGAAATTTGGACAAAAAGGGAGAAAATCCAGAAGGGTTGATCCATATTCTGGTGCCCACATGCAGCTTTGAAACCTCTGATACATGTTGTCACCAGCTTATCAACTTTTAATCATTGATCGATAGAGAGATTTGGTAACTGGCCAATCAATAAGTGACCGAGTGCAAGTCACCCCAACTCTTATGGAAGAAAAAGAATGGGCTGCCACCTCAACCCCTATCAACATATGGTAGGTTACATAACCCACCAGAAACCCTCAGCGGAGAAAAATAGCTTATAAAACCCCTATAGCAAAGAGTGACTGCCTCAAATTTTCTGAACCTACAGACAGTGACTATAACCTCCTTATATCCACCCCAACTATTTGCCCAACCCGCCTAGCCCAACCCACCCACCCTCCCTCCCTCTGTACAGCTTGCATAGTTTCCAGCACATTCTTCCAACATTTCCCTCATTCCCGTTAGAACCTGCTATTACTTCATATACCAATATTCAGGAGTAAAATGAGGGGAGTCAAAAGCTCAGAATCTGGAGCCTGAGTCCAATCCCTCCTCAAGAGGCTTGTATCCCACCGTTTCCTGATTCCTGTTTCTAACCTCCTCTCTTCTATTGTCCTACCCCCCTCGGATCTTTTTGTAGAGCGCTTCCTTTTGATGGGAGCCAATATTTGGTGTACATAGCTCCTGAGCCTCAGGCAGCAAATTGTTGCACTATCTCTTACATCGATACAAAGTTAACAAGATGCTCCCACAAATCTGTAAAGGTGTGGAGCAACTTGTAACCTCTCTCTCTCTCTCTCTCTCTCTCTCTACTACTACTACTACTACTACTACTATACTATACGTACGACGTACGTACGTAACGTAACGTACGTACGTACTACTACTACTACGTACGTAACTAACTAACGTAACGTAACCGTAACCGTAACTAACTAA